GGGTTTGAACACACTATCATTACTCAAATGTGCGTAGGAATGGTCTTGAGTGTGCGTAGATTCTGTTCTTAGCTAAGAACAAATTCAGATAAGAAAACATTGGTGAATGTCAGAATCTTCGTTAAAAAAAAATGCGTACATGGGGTTTAAGAAGAAATTTGTTTGTAAGAACGGTTGGTGAATGAGGCCCATTGACGATAACGATAACAAAAAATTTTCGTTAACAAAATTAACACTGAGATGGAGTTCTGTTAAAAGGCACAAAAATTGTCATACCTCCTTGACATCACAAATCCATGACATCAGATTAGTGCATGAAGGACATTTGGGTGTAGAAAAGTGCAAAAGACATGCACGGGATGTGTTATACTGGCCAGGCATGCACAAGGACATTGAGGCTTATGTACAACTCTGTGAGACCTGCCAGAAATGCCCATGAACCCGGAAGCTAAGAACCAGACTTCTATCAGCAAAACATCAGATGGAAAGGAGTGCGTTAAGCATACCTGATGAGAGACAGACTGAACTGTACAACAGAACAGCTAAGCCTCTCAGACCACTCGCACAGGAGGATATAGTGCAGGTGAGATGTGATGGGCAGTGGGGGCAGCTGGTTAAAGTGGTCAAAGAGACAACGCCAAAATCATATGAAGTCGTCACAGAGTATGGGAACACAATGAGGCGAAACAGACGACGCTTACTGAAAGTGCCTCAAAAATAAATCAAGGTCATGGAAAGTAACGCGAATGACATGACAATCCCAAATCAGACAGAACAACCAGAAATGGAAGTCAAACAGAAGAGCCCTGAGACAGACAACGACACACAGGGTCAAGGTTCAAAAAGACAAATTGTGAAATCTAAGACTGATTGAAGAAATGTAAGGTGCAATGTAAATATAACTAATGTAAGAAAGCAAAGAAAAAAAATTGTAAGGGTGAATTTTGTGTTTTGTTAAAGTAGTGTCCAAAACATACAGACAGATGTCACAAAATGTCACAAAAGTTCTTAACAGCTTTGTAACTTTTGTATGCCTTTGCGAATGATATAGTTTGCGATAGTAAAATATACAATTATAATTAAGCCAAATACATTGAGAGATGTGCTCCGTTGGACATGGGTTAGTCTCATTTAAAAGTCATTTAGTAGCTCTATTGCATAAACTCTCCCCAGACACGGTACAGAATTTCTGTAAGCCTTGTTCTGTTGTTTCTTGAGCCTAGTAGCATATTCATAATAACTTTCTGGTATCATCTTAAGGAGTGAAGGTAATGACTGTATGTCATTTATTGCAGTCATGATTTGTAATCAATGTACTGGGTCACATGGAAAAGCTTGCACAATGTAACATTTGCCAGAGATGGAGATTCGAGTTTGAGAGTTGGATTCCAGTCGCACTCGAGTCTCTCTTAAATTGACTTCCGACTTTACTTGCAACTACAGTACCTCAGAACTCGAAATTAATCCATTCAGAACTCCAGACCGAATCCTAAAAAGGTCGAGTTCTGATCGAATTTCCCCCATAAGAAATAATGGAAAACCAATTAATTGGTTCCCGGCCCCAAAAAATTACACCGAAATGTGTTTTTTTTTTTTTTTACATTTTTAAACGCAAAATGAACCGGACAAAACAAGAAAAGCATATACTGTACTTGTTACGATCCCCTGTCTAGGGTCAGGGACCGCCAGAAAGGTAGAGGAGAGGGAGATGGGAAGACAAGACAACCAGGGAATAAGGGAACGGGAACAAGGGACACAGGAGGGATCTTTTTTTATGGTTTTTTTATTTTTCACAACACGTTCACAAACAGGAGGTGCAACGAACTTCGGGAGTGACCCACGCCAAAAATAACAATCAAAACAACTAACGAGCACGTCCCAAACTGAGCTAATCCCTAAGTGAAAATAAGCAAACAAAACGACAAACACTAAACCTGGCTCCCTATCCAAAACACACAGTAAACACCACGGTCGCAAAACAAAATGGCAGTCACTCCTTACGCACCAAAAAGACATGTACAAACAACACACAGTCCGAAACACGGTATCCAAAGGGGCGAGCAAAAGAATAGTCAGAAGACAGGCGGGAGATCAGAAAACCAGCAAAGAAGTCAAACCAAAGCAAAAGTACCAAGGGGGCGAGCAAGAAATCAAAATCCGAAAACCAAAACAGTCATACACAAGTAACCAACCAAATAAGCAAAACCAATAATCCAGAAATGAGCAGAGCTCCTGAGGTGTCTTCCTGTCGGCTTTTCAGCTCCCGGAACCAGGAAGTGACGCGCGACGCATTGGAGGAGCCGTGGGCGGGGTCTGGTCAGCAAGGCGGAGCCAAGATGTATACGGCGAATGATGACAGAGGCGGAGAGGCGGGAGGTCCGGATAGTCGGCAGGGCACCTCCTAGAACTTACGGCACGTAACAGTACTAAACACATCTAAGCCCATTTATCAAAACAGTAAATTTATCAAAAGTAAGAAAATAAATGTATCCAAACAACGTGTAAAGTTAAAAAAAAAAATGTGTCATGCCCCGATCGTCCGCTCCTTCCGTGTGCCACACCCCCTCGTTAACCCCGTGTGGAATCCCCGAGTGATCAGCTTTTTCTGGTTGTCATTAGTCCTCTGTATTTCTTCCGCGATTCAGTTTGTTTCCCCAGTCCGGTCATTGTATTGTCCGTCTGCGTTTTGCCTGCCTTACCTTTAATTAAACCCAGTATTCCTCGATACCTTGACGTCTGCGCCTTTGTCTCTGTTCCGTCCCTGCTGGGCACGACAATATTATTATAATTAAATGTATTAATGGTTTATTATTAGTATTAAAATAATTAATAAGAAATCTTTATTTTTAAATGTATTTTATTATACAATAATAATTACTGTTACTGTCTATCATTGTCTAAATGTATTTTTACTGTCTAAATATATGTATTCAGCTAGTGTAAACGTGCACGATGCTATCACAGCGAATGCGAGGCTGAGACTGAAGCTTTATTTGTTTCCGCTGAGAGACGTGCTGCGTGACTCATTTCCCCGCGTGTACAAGTTATCTTAGGTCGGTGTTCACGGGTTTGACTTCTGAGATTCAGATTGAGTTCTAGGTAATTTTTTTTTTCGAATTGGTTGGTTCGACTTTTAAGAAATTCGAGTTCTAATGGGTTTGAGAACTGAGGTACCACTGTATTTTACCTCAATCAGGTTCCAACATTCTTGTAGAGCAGTTGATAGATCAGCTTTGCAGGAAGGAGCCTTGTCATGTACCTTTTTTTTTTTCAATTTCCACCATAAATTTTAAATTGGATTGAGATCCCATTTGAATTGTTGGGAATGGACCTAATAGGGCCATTGACAGTCACCAAAAGGGGGTATAAATTAACCTCAAAGCAGGCAGAAGTAGCAGCAGAGTGCATCCTCCGTTGCTTCCATCAGTTTGAGGCTCCAAAAAGAATCCTCACTGATCAAGGGAAAGAATTTGTTAATTCGGGTAGTATACAGTATATATGTAAATAAGAGAAAATTACCAACTCATTACATTTCTGTCTTATTTGTTATTTTGCATCACACAGGTAAACTTAGTCAGTTTTTGTCATCATATTGATATTTCCATGTATTTCTGGTATACAGTTTTTTTGCATTGTGTGTCCAGGGACTAACGTGCCTTTCCATATTTTCATTCAAAGTTAAATAATGGTTTGTGTGCCAGACTTGGCATAAGATGAAGCCTGTGCTTCCCTTATCATCCCCAAAACAAATGGCTTAGTGGAAAGAGTGAATCTATCCAAAGGTAAGGAACATGTGTCATGAGTGGTGGCACCAAATTTCAATATTGTGCATCAACATTTATTTAGTCTTTGTAGACGGCATTTACATATTATATATTAACATAAGATCACATATGTTATATTCATATCATATGCTATTATTAATATAATACATTGTTAATATAAATGTAAAATACATAATATTTGTTCTTTAGAGCACTTGAAAGCTTGTTAGGGAAAGACTGGACCCCTAGGATGTGTACTTGGATGCAGTGATGTTTGGGCTTCAAACCAAAACCCAGGTTACCACCAAGTACTCCCCTTATTTTTTAATGTTTTGGAGAGAAGCTCGGTATCCCTCAGAAATGCCACAGGATTACTTGGTTAGTAAATTCTGTCTGTCCGTCCGTCCATCTGTGTGTGTATGTGTGTGTGTGTTTGAGTGCGTTTTCAAATTTGTGTATATCTTACACATTTAGGGCAATCACTCTTCTGTTCACAGGTTGACGGCAGTGTGGAGGCCATCATGGCAGAGGAAGCGGTCTGTGAGAGATGTGATTCCATCAGGGAAATCATGAAGGAAAATGTGAAGAAACGACAGGAGCACTCAAGTTTGGTGCTCCCAAAGCAGACTTTAAAGTTGGGGACCAGGTATGGAGGCAGAACAAAAGAAGTGAACACAGGAAGTATTTGTTCCCACTGACCCAAATGACCAATCAAGTGCCTGGATTTGAAAATCTAGTCTAGAATGTACCGACATGTATGTAAAATGTAGACTTTATTTTTTAGCTAATTATAGTGATCTAACTTATATATTAGTCTTTTAAAATGAAAATATATATATTTTTTTTTATTAAAAAGTTCAATTAGGGCTTATTTTAACAGAGGGGCAGCATTATCCCTCTGAGGGGGCGACACCCCCTTACACTCCCCCATGGCGCCGGGCCTGATGAGATGTAAGACTTAGCGAGCAACAGGCTTGACTTTAACGGGCTAAACCAGGGAGGAGACGAGAGGATTAGGCAGACAAGGTGGGCAGGACCTGATACTGGGTCAATAAATGGTGCATTTTCCACTGGATTCATGATACCGGGAATATTTACCAGGCTCCCCTTGCAAACACTCTAGTTCCCAGCAGGTCAGTGGGATTAACCACATAAAAACTAGGAATTAGGTTTTTACTCCCAGTCAATAATCAGCTCAATCTCCCTTCTATTTGAATGAAAGTTTCATCCACTTCATTTGATTCCACAATGTTTTATTGTGATAGACAAAATGTTTCTTTACAGTCTATCTTGATCTTCCACTCTCTTCTTTCTTTCTTTCCTTCCTGCACCCTTCTTAGTTCTTTCTCCTCTCCTGTCCTTCCTCATTGCCGTAAGATTCAGGTAACAATTACTGCTAATTCTTGCACTGTCAGTAGTACCTGTGGATCAAAGTGAACTGATATATAATAGTTCTTAAATGGTTTAATTGATAATCACTATGAAGAAAGAAATCATTCATTTTGACTGATTGCTAATCCCTCTGTTGTCATTATTAAACATTCTACCCAAATACCCCCTCCCTAAGTATTTTCTGCAAAAAATAAAATGAAAATAAGATGAAAATACAATCTACACTTTGCCATTTAGCTTTCAAAGTCTATGCACAAAAATCCTGCAAAAATTAAAATTAAATAAGTACCATTTGCATTTCAATTTTCCACTCATGTATGAGTCAGATGTGAAAAATTAAATTAAATATCCTTTTTGTCTTTTCATTGTCCAATGTGACTTTTCATTTCCTACTTTGCTTTTTCATTTTCAAGTTCCCCAACATGGAAATATATATGTTAACTAAAGCGGGCAGTGGGCGGAGCTATAGCTCACAACTGCGTTTTTTGCATAGCATATGGCAGGCACGTACGCCACTGTAAGGACACTGAAATGATCCTGGGCTAGATAGGTGTTATAGGCTACCTAGCTGGAAACATGGCAGTATGGGCCATTTGAATTCTAGTGTTTCATTACAATGGCATACCTGTATAAATATGTGTGCTACTTCTTAAAAATTCTATTCGTATTTTATTTCGTATTTTCAAAATGTCTTAAATATAAACTGTATAGCATGTGCCGCTGCGAACAGTCCCCTCTAGGGAACCTTGGAATAACTTAAAACATTAACATCGCTACGAATAAGAAGCTAAATGAATCGGAAGCTGCAAATGAGTAGCTAAGTTAAGCCACGTGTGACTTTGCCATTAGTTTGGGTGACATGGGCGACCGTGCGCAAGGAACACAATGACAACGGAATCCGTAAACGCACTGAGAAAACGCATGGCTCTGCCCAATGACCGCTCCAATTAACATATATTTGCATGTTGGGAACTTGCAAATGAAAAAGCAAAGTAGGAAATGAAAAGTCAAATTGCAAAATTAAAAGACAGAATGGTTATTAAATTTATTTATTTTTATTTTCCAAATGTGACTCGTACGTGAGTGGAAAATTAAAATGCAAATGGTGCTATTTCATTTTAATTTTTGCAGGATTTTTGCGCATACACTTTGAATGAAAACTAAATGGCAAAGTGGAGATTGTATTTTCATTTTATCACTTGCATTTTTGCAGAAAATACCTCCCACACTCCCCATCTTCTGCGATTCAGTAGCTGCGTCGGCGAGCCCCCTTAATTCTTTAGCCAAGGTAATTAACATCTCCCAGCATGCTCAGCGCGAATGTAAATAGCCTTTGTCATTGTAAATGGCTGTACTGTATACCCGGTTGTCGAGTGAGCCCTTACCTGTACATGTGTTTGTGCAGGATCCTTGCCTTATCCTGGCGTTTCTCTGTGGCAACGTGCAAATCCTCACCTTGCGTGCAACATGCAATTTGCAATGGGACCTCTCCACGCTTCCCCGCTCTCTTAATGGTGAGAATATTTGTGCACAACACAGCTTAGTTTCTTTTGTCGTATGGATTCCTCGCGAGGGCTGATCACAAGGAACCCGATATTTAATCATATGCTGCTTCCGTTCTTGTTTGCAGTTCGGGAGTCTGGGTCTGCTGAGTTTGCTGTGGGAGGACTGCACAATAATATGGAAGTAAGGAAACTAAGTGACATGCGATTTCAGCAACTATAAATACATCGTTTAGTTTTTGTTGGTCCATGCTAGCAAGGCTACATATGAATTACAGACGACATATGTGTTTGCTGGTTCACTGAGTTACTTCGCGTTCGCGCCTTATTCACAACCAGTATGATATTTTGCTGTGCTGGTTGTTGTTGACACAGGAATTCACACAATAATATACAAGCACATTAAAAGACATTTATAAGTGTGTCAAACGATAAATCGATCAACGGGGTGATTACTCTGCATTAACGTGATCTGGAATAAGACAAGCCGTCTGGGAGTCCGCGAACACCGGTTTGGGAAACACTGTCTTACATCTTTAATCTGGCATCCAAATGGACACCGGCTGTGCCTCGATCGTTTCCACATCATGCACTTCATCCTCCTCAACAATCAGCTGCTCCTCAGACTCATCATCTGATGAGCCACTGGACCAAAAGAAGGGGAAACACCAGAAGCACATTTTTGCTGAGATACTCTTCCACAAGTGCGAACTGAAAATGAGTTGTGTTTCTGCTCACACCAAACTTTATAAGCTTGAGGTTCTCGAACCACAGTGGCGATTTTTACGTCAGTTTTCACGTGACGTCACATGCGCATAGGACCGCCCACCCGGCGCGCAAAATAAGGCTTTATTACGCTGCCTGCTGCTTATTTTTACCACATTTGTTTAGCCAAAATGCCGGATAGTTGTTATTCAATTAGATGCACTAACCGGCAAGGATACAACCCTAGTTGACCTCTTACAGAACCTCATCCGAGAGACAAAGGAGATTATGGATTCCTTCTGTTTATTAGACGTGCCTCCTCCCATATGGAGGGAAATATAGAATGGCAACCACTGAAGATTAGTAGCAGTTTAAAATACATTGATAATAAACATGCGTTATAGCAAACATTATAATTGTATAATCATATAATCTTTGTTATTAAAGTATATTAATAAAGCTGTTAAACTATGTTAGAATGTTAAGGCAGTGATTCTCAACCCATGGGTCAAGCTCTGAAAGGGTCGTGAGGTAGAGCTGGAAATCTAAGCATTTTAAAAACCAGCAAGCTCCTATTCTGATCAACAATCAGATTTCCTTGCCCCAATCCTTGCATTATCCTATATAAATGGGTCTTGGTTAGTGCAAAACTCAACTAATCAAAGACAAACCACAGATGCTTCATTTAAAATTCACTGGCACATCCAATCAGATGTATGCAATAGGTATTGATTGACGCAAATTGCAGAGTGCCTTGCATGCTCAATCGTAGCGTTACAACTCAGCCAGCATGGTAAAAAGTGGGTTGCGGTGCAATAAAGGTTGAGAACAACTGAATTAAGCCTACATATGTTCACGAGTGAGGGAAGGATGGAGCAGGAGATTGACAGGCGGACTGGTGCAGTGTCAGCAGTGATGTGAGCGCTACATCGGTCTGACATGGTTAAGAAGGAGCTGAGGCAAAAGGCAAAGCTCTCGATTTACCAGTCGATCTACGTTCCTACCCTCACCTATGGTCATGAGCTGCGGGTAATGACCAAAAGAATGAGGTCACGAATACAAGCGGGCGAAATGGGTTTCCTCCGCAGGGTGGCTGGGAGGGACTCAGAGTAGAGCCACTGCTCCTCCACATCGAGAGGAGCCAGATGAGGTGACTTGGGCATCTGATTAGGATGCCTCCTGGACACCTCCCTGGTGAGGTGTTCCAGGCCTGTCCCACTGGGAGGAGGCCCCGGGGAAGACCCAGGACATGCTGGAGAGACTGTGTCTCCCGGCTGGCCTGGGAACGCCTCGGGATTCCTCCAGAGGAGCTGGACGAAGTGGCCAGGGAGAGGGAAGTCTGGGTTTTTCTGCTTAAACTGCTGCCCCCGTGACCTGACCCGGAAAAGTGGTAGATGAGGGATGGATGGATTGATGGATGGGAATAACGGCGTTAAAATCACGGCATTACTGACGCCATTCTTTTCTTTGGAGAGGGGCGAGGGCAGGGGCGAGACAACCGCATAAGTGATCATGATTGGCTAAGATAGAGCAAAATTTCATGGTTATCCAACCAGAGGCAGAGGTGGGCAGGTGTTTACACAAACACACACGCACAGGAGGAACACAGCAATGGTGAGTTCAAAAGTAGCATTTTTACGGTGGAAATACAGACATTAATTTTCCCTTGTTGAAGTTAAAGGGAAGAATGTATACGTTAAATGTACTGTACATTATGTCCTGCGCATAATAAAAGCAAAAAAATCTTAGCCTAACTGCACATTGGATAAATCTACTAGAGCCCGACCGATTTATCGGCAGGCCGATATTATCGGCCGAT